GAATTGCGCGTGTGGCGCAACCTTTAAAGGTCATTTTTAATTAGTTGAAATTTCGTTGGACTCTATCATTGCTCGGAAATTGAGCAACAGTTTCATTTTCAAGTGAGATCTTGATGATTTATTGGTTTAATCAATATTTTTTCAATCAATTTAATTTGGTTATTAATTTTAGTTTTGGCGTTGTGCATCAATCACTACAGCTGAGTCAAATTCAGACAAATATAAAAGGTTAAATCCAAAATTAAAATTAAATTAGTTAACGATTCGACTCTTAGAGCGTTTTTCGTTTAGTTGTTGACTTTCGTTAAGTTGGCACGTGAAACTTGCCTTTGGAAATATTGCAATGCGAACAGGCACTTTCTACAAAAATGTCAACAATAAACAAACTGAAATAGAAATGCCAACCAAGAGCAGATCAGTGAATCATCGAAAGGGCCGGCAAGCACATGATTATATATTCATGTTTATTCTGTATTTTGGTGTCTTTTTTTCGAAAAGGTGCACGAATATTCAGTTTGTTACCCACAGTGGACGAAATCGGTCGATAATTCTTGGTGTCGTGTGAATCGCATTCTTAGATGGGAAATATAGAATTATTGTGCGTAAATTTTTGACGATTTATGGGTAGAAAATGGAGGATGGGGCGCCAGTTTGCAGAAAGCTGGTAAGAATGATCTCTAATCTATAAATATTTTATGGATTCGCAATATTTCTCTCTCTTTGCTTGGCTGATTTCAAATAAGTGTGGCTTTGGTCAGATTTCCTGTTGTATAAACACTTTTATCTTTTTTCTTTCCAGGTGGCACTTTGGCCCTGGTTAGACTTTGCCCCTAGACGACTCTCAATGGCAATTTTTTCCCGATTTTGGTAAATCAGGCTTTATAAAATACGTCAAATATACATACAATATGTGTCACAAACATGTTTTAATTTGACGATTATCTCTTTACATTTTTATAAATCGTGTTCTTCGCTCTTCCCAATCTATCAGCTACTGTTTTTGTTGACCATTCATCCTAGATTAATGTAAGGATTCGAGTTTCCTTCAAATACTTTTAGTGTCATTTTGACAATATGAAAATTTATTTGTCAGTGTTATGTCATTTACCCAATGATAGATCGTCAGATTTACACAACAACTATTTAATCGTCTACTTTTATGTGTGCACTGTACATACATGTATTTAGTCCCATATCCATTAACTGACTCGTAGGGTGGATATGGCACCAATTGAGCTGTTGTTTCTTTTTCAAAATTCCGGATTTCATGTGATTTGAATGAATTTTTGATGACATTTAAAGCACATTTTGGTTTACTAAACGCACAACTCTGAACTTTTGTTCAGTAGAGTATTTTTAATCACACGCTTAGCATTTAATCCAACGGCAGATTAAAGCTTCACGGGGCCCGGGGCTGAAATTTCAACACCTTACAAAAAAGTCGGCACATTCTTTATTAGTAATGTTTTACCAAATGGTGACTGCAACGCAACTGCACCAGTGAGTTCCTGTGCCGGTGCGTGTTGCGTTTCGTCGCAAAACTGCGCCAGCTCCTGAAAATTAGCTGAGTTACCCATGCCTATTCTAGATCTTCCACAGCAAAAGGGTGTTTTCACTTGTTTTTAAATGTTGATATATAGAAAGTAGTAATGGCAAACATTACACTGATATAATTTTTCTTGCAAAAAAAGTCTCCATAATAAGTTTAAAGCGAATTTAAATTCAAATCAGATATTTTCCGCCAAAAACGCCGAATCCGTATCGTCGGTTGCCTATCCCGATTGTGACGTAGCAAGACATATCAACAAAGTTTCTCGTGTTTATTTTGTTGTTTTTGCAGCTTTGTTTTATTATTTAGGTTATTGTGATTATCATTATTTTATTGATTATTATTTTCTTGCATAATGGAAAATAGTGACATGTATGGATCACAAAATAAGTGGTGTTTTGTGCCAGGATGCAAGAATACCTCAATAAGTGCTCCAAACAA